GGGAGGGGGGGGCGGGGGTGGGGGGTGGCGATGGAGGAGAGGGTGAGGGAGAAGAGGAGGTTGGAGGAGAGGAAGAGGAGGAAGGAGCAGAGAGGGTAGTGAGGTGAGGAGAGAGAGAGAAGAGTGATGAAGATTAGTGAGGAAGGGATGGATTGCCATATTAAGTATCTCAGGAATCTGTTCTTGAGCACCAGCTCAACCCTGCTCCTGCTCCTGCTCCCACCAGACATGCCTTCGCCTCTACGTTTTCTCTGCTCAGTGCTCAGTGCTCAGTGCTCACACCCTTCCCCCCCTTCTTCTGTCGCCTATTTCTTTCTTCCAACGCACCTACCAGTAAGCCAGATCCTTTGTTATTGTTAGGTCACTTTTTAAATTTTAAACATTTTTTATTATTCTATTTTTCTCTTTTTTTATTTTAATACTCATTCTCACTTCTCACTTCTCACTTCTCATCCCATTCCCGCTTGGCTGCGGACAATTTTTGTAATGGAAATGCAACAACCAATCAGGATGATACTAAAGATAATCAATCACCACAATAAAAATTAAAATAATAATAAAAACTTAGAGTTTGTTAATTGTAGTCAATAAAGATTTTTCAACAATGAATGAAAACATGTAATCAAAGTATCAATTACATTAGATAAAATTAAAAGGAAAAACATGTTAAAAGATGAAGAATAAAAATATATCCAAAAAAATTTGTGACAAAAATGAATTAACAAGCATAAACATTAAGGGGTTAATTTTCAACGACCTTAGTTAATTTTTATTGGCATTTAGAAAACATTGTCACATTAAATAAAAAAAAAACAGATTTTTACGTCTCAACATTCAAAGTAGTTTTTTTTTGTTATACTTTCTTCATTATTGAATAAGAGTTAAATTTTTTTATACATACAAAAGTAACTAATTAAAAATGAAAGGAAATAAAAATTATATAAACTTACCCTTATTATTAGTTTTATTTACCGAGAACAATTGATCAGAACTAGTATATTTTAAGAAATATCATCAGGAGTATAAATGATAAACTTACCCTTATTATTAGTTTTTGGCTCACTCTATTCACGAGTTAGTGTGGTTCGTGGATGCTACTCACAAATACTGCATCTGCCTTGTGTGCTTGTGTGAATGAAATGGCCCTCATCCCCAAACGCTTCTTCATCTTCTCCTCTGCACTCACGCGCCCCCTCCTCCACGCGCGACCCTCCTCCACCGCACCCACGCAGACGCAACCCTCCACCACCACCAGCCGCAGCAAAACCCCATCCGAGAAACAATTCGAGACATGGGTCCACAGCCTGAAACCGGGCTTCACCCCCTCCGACGTGGCCCAGGCCCTGCAGGCCCAATCCGACCCCGACCTCGCCCTCGACATCTTCCGCTGGACCGCGCAGCAGCGAAACTACTCCCACACCTCCCTCACCTACCTCACCCTCATCAAGCAACTCATCGCCGGCCGCCGCTACCGCCACGCCGAAACCCTCGTCGAGGAGGTCATCGCCGGCGCCTGCGACGTCTCCCTCCCCCTCTACAACTCCATCATCCGATTCTGCTGCGGCCGCAAGTTCCTCTTCAACCGCGCCTTCGACGTTTACAAAAAAATGCTCTCTTCCCCCGATTCCAAACCCAACCTCGAAACCTATTCCCTCTTGTTCAATTCCCTCCTCAGAAGGTTCAACAAGTTGAACGTCTGCTACGTCTATTTGCACGCGGTTAGGTCTTTGACTAAACAAATGAAGGCTTCCGGTGTAATCCCCGATACCTTTGTGTTGAACATGATTATCAAGGCTTATGCTAAGTGTTTAGAAGTGGATGAGGCCATTAGGGTTTTTCGCGAAATGGGGTTGTATGGATGTGAGCCTAATGCTTATAGTTATGGCTACATTGCTAGAGGCTTGTGTGAGAAAGGGAGGGTGGACCAGGGGTTGAGGTTTTATAAAGAGATGAGAGGGAAGGGTCTTGTGCCTAGTACTAGTACTTATGTGATAATTGTTTCTAGTCTTGCCCTGGAGCGAAGGTTTGAGGATGCGATTGAGGTTATGTTTGATATGTTGGGCAAGCATAGGTCGCCTGATCATCTCACTTACAAGACGGTTTTGGAAGGCTTGTGCCGGGAGGGGAGGGCCGACGAAGCCTTTGAACTGCTTGATGAATGCAAGAAGAGGGATGCTTCCATGGGTGAGAAGATGTACAAGGCTTTGTTGAATGAATTGTACGTTGTGTGTCGCGAGTAGGTTCTGTGGTGGTGCATTTGCTTCAGGATGCAGGAAATGTTTGATTTGTTGGAGCCAAACTTGGTTGTTGTCCTGCTTCTGGAGCTTCATTGGAGATGGCTGCTTCCTTTGAAAGAGATGAGTCCAGGCATCTTGCTTGAACAATTGCTCTCGACTTGTTTTGGACGGATAAATATGGAGGCTTCTGAATTGTATTGAACATGTGATATACTACTGTATGAGACAGCTGATTCTTTTGAATGCAGATAAATAGTTGCATTGTGCTTGGAGAATTGCTCTCAACTTCTGGCGGACTAATTTAATTTGCATTGTCAATGGAGGGGGCACCTGATTTGGTGTTAACTCTCTGTTGCTGCTGATATGGATGGTATGGTGGCAACTGGCAAAAGGTCATTTTCTATTGAAGTGGGGCCAGCTAATGGCAAAAATATGAGCATGGATGTATGCTGCTGACTGCAGGGCCACATGATACTTCAGGGGGAGCAAATACTGGTGTGCAATTTCCATCTAATGCCATTGTGATGCAACCTTGCAAAATTTGCTTATGGATAGTTTATTGGAATTGATGGGGATCCTATGGTTTTTTGTAAACAACTACAGCTACCTAAGATTTGGCTGATTGTTATTTGTTGGTGGCATCTTGCTCCTTGTCCATATTTTTGCTCCATGAATTCATCTGAAATAGAGGTTACTGACAGTTTTACAGTTGCTAGCATTTATCTTTTGTCTGTATTAGTTACAAAAATTTATCTTTTAACCCTAATCCTCCATGGTTTCGAATATCCCAACTAGTCTTGCTGGTACATGGGGGAAATTACATTGTGTAAGATCTTGTATCTTCTGAATAAAACAGAATTACTCAATGTATGTACAATGATGATCATATTTTCTATTATGCAATTGTGTTAATCTTTATAATGTTAATCTGTTGGCATTTAGCTACATGTATTGTGGGTTCCATTAGCTTATAGGTTATATAGTGTTTAAGAAATCTTTTCATTTGTTAACATAAATAAAAGGGCAATTACAATCAACATCTCTCTGTTTATGCCATTAGTTTCATAGTTTGATCTTCTTTAATTTATATAATTGCATTAAAAATCAGGGAAGGTTTGTATTAACGAGAAGGATATATAATGTTTTATTCTTATATAAATTGAGAGAAGTTTGTGTAGGTTGCCACTTGTTTAATTTATGAGGCGAATATGGGAGACTGATTAATTATCCGGAATAATTCTAGAGCTTTGGCAATTGGCGATGCCCGATTAAGCTGAGGTTGAGGTCAATGCATTATTTTCTTGAGCTCCAACTTGTCCTCCCCCCCTCTTTTTTTTGTAGATCTAAATGTTGATTCATGGAGTCACTATGTGATAATTAATGATGATTTGGCTTCTTTAAAAATAAGGGATTGCAATTTAAAGGGAAAAAAAGTATAATTCTTGATTGAAAAGTTAACTCGCCATACAATGGATGCAAGTGTAATCAAATTAGGCAATTGTTGAAATTTCAATTACTGAATTTTTAACTAATGATTGTAGTTTCGTGTTTTTATCTTAAATGACAATAGCCAAAGGCTAAGCTATACATAGTTGACAAAATTATCATGGATCTTCTCCTTTTAGTTTTACTCCTTGCATCCTTTAAGAGAGGGATTCCTTTTTTTTTTTTTTTTTTTTTTTTTCTCGGTGATAAACAAGGAAATAACTTCTTGGTGGATTTACATCCTTCAAAGTGTAGAATGTATTTTTGAAAAGCAATTGCTATTTGCAGTTTTTGCGTCTTTTTTATTTATATATCCCCTTCCATCTTTTTCTAAGTGCCCTCTTTTTATTATTTTTTCCAAAAGCTCAACTGAGTCAAAGACCAGATGGCATAAGCCATTTTGAAGCTCACAATGGCAAACAAAATCCATTCTTGGTGGCAACTGCCAGTTCACCATTAAGAAAAAAAGCGTGACCGAGTAGTGTAGTAAGTAGTAATTCTACTATTCTACTTGCAAATTTTGCTCTTAGGGATAGTACCTATTGGTTTTCCCTCGCGCCGGTTACTGAATGGTTCCTTGTCCTTGCACATCTCAATGGTCGTCTTCAAATAACACTTCTGGTATGGGAACAGAACTAGAGTAGCGTAGGTGGCCTCATCAGTATCACAATCAGAGTTTACAATTTCACCAAACCACTTCTTAGCCTCATGATCTCGTTCATAAAACTTTTGATTGTACACCAGTTTCCTTCTCCTCAGCTAACTGGGGAACCTAGTCATTGGACCGCAACTCAAAGTGATTCAACTTCCTGATCTTTAAAGAATGCTTTTTCAGAATGTGTTAAAATTTAAGTACTTTCAAAATTTTCAGAAATTAATTTTCTGAACATTGTACCATTACCAAAATAAATTCTGAAACTAGGTTTTCTGAAAGAGAATATTTTTAAGAAGAGTGTATAAATAAAGGGAGGTGCAAATAGCAATTGTCTTTAAGAAAATAAAATACAAAATGGTAATTGATAATTGAAAATTTATCATCAAGATAATGATAAAATAAATACAAATGTGTAAAAAATATTCCCTACAGTCCTACATTTCCATTCAATTATGGGTAAAAAAAGACCATTCCACTCAATTCTCTTCTACTTAGCACACTAAAAATTTCAACTTCCCCTCATTCTATCTACTTCCTCTCCACCAAACACTGGTTTAAAATACATTTCACACATTAGAAAAATCAGTTTTTCTCTTAATATTCATTGCCACTTCAGGGACAACCTTAGAGGATTTCTACCTAGCTCCATCTACCATCAAATTGCAAGGCCATTTCCAGTTTCCACATGGAGACGAATATGATGGCCCAGCTCCTCAAGGTAATTAAAGACCCTTGTTTCTTTCAATGTCTTTCTCAAGGAGAACTATAACACTTGATTGCAAATACCAATGCCAATTTGTCATGCTAGAGTGATGCACGAAAAATGCTTATATAGCTGGAACCGGAAGATTTCTTCAAGTTAACCCTATTTTACATTTTTATCACTGTAACTTGTCTCCATTCTAAAAAGGATCTCGTTAAGAATTGGACAAAAAACTAATACTGTAAAAATATAAGAATGGAACCCTCACTCGCAGTCTGTTGGAGAATTCCAAGAAAAAACATGTAGGTGGGAATGTGAGATTAAAGGTAATAAGATGCAAGTATTTCGGAACTTTCAGAGAGCCTGTTCTCACTTCTATGAATTTCCAAAATTGACTTTCTTTCTCCCACTTCCTTATTTATACTCCCTGTCTCATCTCATTATATGTCTCTTTATGTGTTTTATTTTGCTTTAAAATGTCTGTCACTTTAGAAAACTAACAGGATATTTTAATAAAACTAATCTATTGGTGTCTCATCTAAATGTATAAATAAATTCATAACTACGTTGTAACTTTTTCATAAGGATAATTTTATCAAACAAAATCATTTTATCATATAAATCAGTATAATTAATAATTTTTTTAAGAAGAAAAAAAGTTGTACCATGCTATTTCTACCTTTTAAAAAGCCTCAATTAGCAGAGGTAGGTCCACAAGAACCGAGCCCAATATCATTTCTCCTACTTTACATTTTTATTGGTGGTCTAACAGAATTGCCAGTTACATTATTGCTGCAGTTCAAAAACGAACTACCTGGCCAGTAGTACATATTTAATGATTTTCTTGTTACATATTTCTTTCCGCTATAGAATCAAACTTTTTCATGGAAGTAGAGATTGTTAACAATTGTACAAAAATAGTACACTGTGAATCCGTGCAATTGTAAAAAGCTGTGTACATATTGTGGCACTTATATTCTTTCAACTGATATTATGTTGTACCAAGAAAAAGAAAAAAAAAATCATCTTTTTCATTCTCTCTAGTCTCTCTAGTCACATCTTACTTCCCCACTTTTATTCCTTCCATTTTCCCTTCACATTTGGGACCATCCCCGCTGGCAGAGCACATGGCATAACGTGGTAAGACCTACCACAAACTTCTATAAAAAGAATCATTCGACATTGTTAATTTGATGCAAAATAAAAAGTCATTATCAATTCTCACTTCTCACTTAGCATCAATAAAAAAAATCTTGAATTACAGAGAACACGAGAACACTGATGGCAACTATTATTACAAGTGGAACAAACATAACATTACATGATAATATACCAGACCCACACAACATTTTCTTACATGAACACATTCACAACACTCAACACCCCTGGTTCCTAAGACGTATTATGAACAACTAATAAAAGTATCCCTACAAGACTACATCATCTAACACGTAAAAAGCAGTTGAAATTCGGATAATTACATTAAACAAATGATGTTGACCTCGAAACTTGAGACAATGCATCTTCAAACTGGTCATCATCTATCTTCTCAGAACTCAAGCTTGGTGGAATGAAAGATCTGAAAATCAATTCCATATTAGGAGCTTCCTTAAGCGCATGAGCTACAACCTCAAGTGCCTGATGTTGAAAAGCGGGATAAAACTTCTTTGCACAGACAAAACCAAAGACCAATGACAATATGGGAAGAGGAATCAAAAGTGGTGTATAGTAGAATTTCTGCACCCCAAAGTAGCCGAACATGGTAATTTGGTACAATATCAAAGATGCTAGTATACGGTTGTGTATGTGGGGCCACATTCTTCCATAACTTTCATAAGATGGTACATAGACTTTGAGTGCCTGTTGATACAAAGTAAAATTTAGCCATAAAAAAGTTCACAAAATACATAAAACTGGGTTCATTAAACAAAATTCGAAGAGCTTAACCTGATTTCGCAGTATAAGCCATCCTAAGCCAAAATATAGAGCACCAAATGGGATTATCACAGGAGCAATGACAGAGTAACATAAGACAATTGTGACAATCAGCATATCACCAGGAACTCTAGTTCCATAACCAAGGTCTCCAGGGGACCAAGCATCTTTCAACTCGGCTTCAGTTTTGCAAAGATACTTTCTCTTCAAATGGTATATGATCAGAGGAACTAGTCGGGACAGTTCAAGGCCATAGCCAACGAAAAATCTGAGATAAAAAAAAAATTTAATTTGTGTCATGTCAAGTATTTGAAAATAAAAAGGTGAAATCTTTTCCTCTATATATGTTTAGTAGGAATAGTCCAATTTTTATAGTTTACACTTTACACAAAATCATGCGACGAAATATTTGTTATAGATATGCTTTTGGAATGCCAAGTAACTCCTACTTCAAAAGAATCTAGGAAAAGATAATAACAAGATATAATGTGGAACACCATTTATAGATGAAGTGTGCCTTCTACTTTTCCTTTTACCATCACCAGAAAGTGGTTATCCACCTTTAAGTTGAAAATAAACAACAAAGTATCACCAGAGATAAATACACTGATAAACTAAATAAAATAAAGTTTGGAAGTTATCTTACTTCAGGGCCACATAGGTCAAGAAAAAAGTAGCATTGCCTGGGAGGCTTTCAGCTAGCAAGGATACAGTTTCGTTTGGATTCTTCTCAATTGTCTTGAATGCTTTGAACAAGGTTCCACCTATAGTAACTCCAATGAAAACATTCAGCACGGTAAAATAAAAATATTTTCCAGATGCAGCCCTAACTGCATGACTTTCAGTTGGAATGCCTTCAAATTTAGACAAAAACAGAAGCAACTTGGGCAACAAAGCCAAGAAAATAATCAGCGCAAGTTGAGGGAGGTATGCTTCCAACACTGTCTTCAAAACCTTTATCTTAACAATTGGCTTTATGAATGGAAGAAGTTTCACCAAATTATCCAAAGTAGTCACTGCAGATATAAAGGTAATTGGAATCATGTAGAAGAATACAGTCAGTGCCACAATGACATACACCAAATACTGCCTTAACTCTCTCTGATAAAACTTGATTTTCAAATTAGGCCATATTAGTTGACGGGATTCAGGAGCATCACAGACTGACCAAGTGTCAACCATTTGTGCATGCAAATTCTGAGCTGCAGATGCTGCAACCACCCTATTTGAAAAAAATACCAGAGCAGCATCTTGCTGCTTCTCTCTGAGCGTGACCTTTTGCTCAGATTCCAATTTGGCAACAAGTTCATTAATCTTCTCATTGTAATACTCTATGCTATCCACCTTTTTACCAATCAGTCCAAGGAATCCAGTCTTGTTTGTAGGTCTTGTTCCTTCTGGTTTGGCAGTTGTTTTAGACCCTGCATATATTGCTTCAGTGCGGGCAAGCTTCTTCTTATACCCTTCTAACTCCTCCCAAATCTTGTTCACCTGTTCGTAATAAACTTAGAGCAATTAAATTAAAAAGAAGGAAAAACTAGAAAGAAGCATCATAGACTAATAATACATTTACATTAAAGGGTCAAAATCATTAGACATTCTGCATTCTCTCTTAGGTTCTTAAATGCCACAGAAATCAGAAAAAGGAAAGATGCACTCCAATGCAAGGCTTGTGCTATAGGATCAGTTATGTTAGTTGGTCATAGATTGTAAGTTAGTTGGTTAATTAGCTTGCTGATTGTTAGTAACTAATCCAATAAGCTCTATAAATAGAGCATGTATATCACAGTCATTTGCTTCTTTTCATATTAATCAATATAACGGGCTACTTTTGTGGAGCTTCCCTCGTGTCCTTTCATCTCTATTCATATCTATGATGTATGACCATATCAAATGGGTGTTGCATGCATCACCTATCGAAACTCTGATAAGGAATAAGAAATATTGAAGTTAATCAAGAGGGTACGGGAAAAGGAAATGGAACAATCCCATACCTCTTTGTTGTCTGTTACAATCATAGACCTGTAAAATGTCTCAGGATAGATGGCTTTAAAATAAGTGTCAACTAGTTCCTTCCTAGTCTGACCTTGAGGAACAGGAGGTATGTCTCTCACAACTATAGCAAACTGTTCAGGCTTTGCATCAGGAGACTTAAAAGCTTCAGATCGCAGCCATGACACATGTTTGTAAGCCCTCCATAGGAGAACATACGTAACAACTGAAACCCAATAGCAGGCAATGAGAAATCCCCACAACCTTGAACTCTTTGCCTGCACACACAAAAAGTCATTCAGTCTCTTACATTGTTATCATTTGAAGGTATTAAAGAAACTGATTAGCTGTTTAACTCAAAAAATATGGGTCATTACTTTCACACACATACACACATTTAATTAGTTGAATAAAAGGAAAGTTTACTATTATACTATTGAAAAAATGCTACCCAACACTGATCTTACCGTGATGTTAGCCATTGATAACTTGTCAAGCTCATTGAAAGTTCCTTCACTAGTTGTTTGTTTCTTCCCACCATTGTCAGTAATAGAAAGGGGCAGAAGAACCGGTAGCAGAATAACTCCAGATAAAACTAGGATACCCAACACTAGACGAGAACAGGAAGACTAATAATTAAAAACTGAATGCTGGATTCATTAAAGATCCCATAAACGTGTGATACAACAAACAACTGGAAAATATGAAAGTTTACAACCAGACAAACATATTTATAGGGAAAAAAACATTTTACTGGAAAATGTTTCTCTTTTCTTTCAATGTCATGTGATGTGAAAACATATTTTGAGAACGAAAATGCAATGTGATAGTCTACAAGCAACAAAGATCACAAGTAAGCAAACTACATAGTGTAGCATTTTGTCCAAACAAGTAAGAGTAAGAATCAAATTGTCATAACCAAACCATTTAAAACTGGAGCATGCTGAAGGCATAGCAGAAAAAATACACTCTTTCAGAATAAAATTTTACAAAAAGATAACCGGAGTTGCAAGATAACCTTATGTTCCTTAGAATCAGGAAACAACTCACAATCACTACAAAAGCAAACTGAATAACATAGGACTTCCTTATTATAATTCAAAATTTCTTTCCTGGTTTTCTAATAGACCAATCTAGCAAATAGAACCAGGAACTTGTCCTTTACATTTTGTAAGAACGTGAGATAAAAACCCAAGCTTGAGATTTCAAGTATGACTTAAAACAGCTCCCCAAATTTATTGAAAACCCATTCCTGAGTATTCGTGATTCTCAAGAATCCTGTCTGACCCCCTTAAAGGCTTAACCAACATGAAAATCTTAGCATCTAAACCGTTAATAGTGATACAATGAAATGCTGTTGTTTTCTGTACATACAAGCCATCAAAAACAGAAAACAAAGTGAAGAAAGACACTGTTATTGTAATTATTAGTGAAAGAAGGAAATAAAAACAAAAAAGGTAATGTTACCAAGATTATTTCCATGTTATCAATATCATTTTGTAAACTGTCCCTAATCCACCCCCTCACCCAAGAAAAAAAAATACATCAAAGCTTAAATAAAACTTAGAGGCAACTCCTTATGTGCTTGTGGTGCTATTCTTTGATCAAAATTGAAAATTCACCATAGAAACAGTTGCTGTTTAATGTAAACATTAATTATTATCTAAGAAAAACTCCAATCTTAATACAAGAACAACACCAAAAACACTCTCATAAAACTGCATCTACGTTTTGTCCTGTCTCATGAGCTTGGACAAAGAAGGTGGTATGCACTATGCACTATGCAATTGCAGATACATAGATAGGAAAAAAGAAAAGGAAGAAAGGACAAACCAGTGGTGAGAAAAACAAAGTAAACGGCAGTGTCGACCCCTGACATGGCAATAACATCTTTTTCTGAAGAAGAGACGGCCTCCTTGATCCAAGAGAAAGGGTTGCGGGTCTTGTAGCCTCCCTCCAAGGGCTCCAACCCCTTGAGGATCCTGTTGGGGTAGTACACCACATTGTTCCCAGGCCTACTCGATAGCAACGCAAACACAATCATCAAAACCAAGAATATCACAAACGAAGTTCCCAAAGACGTCAAGAACGAAGAAAATTCCATCTTGGCCTCTTCTTCTTCTTCTTCTCTCTACTACAATCACAAAAGTCCCTCACTTGTTGTGACACATCAATGCAATGCCCCCCCAACCGTTACTACTTCCCTCATTCAAAGCAACAGTTACGGGTGGTGGTTTCCGTTAATAAGAAGATGAAAGGAGATATTTTGAATAGCGAATGGCGAAGGTGGTAGTTGTTGTGGGGTACCCTTGTAACGCTTTGGGTGAATTAATGTAAAGAAGGTTTTGTTTTGGGTTTGAAGAATGCGTTGCGTGGAAAGAAAGAGTGGGATGAGTGTGTGTGTGAGAACGGAAATAATGGAAAACGCTGATGCGAGGCATTATGGCTCTTGAAAAGGACAAAACTTTGTCATCTCCCTGTTCCCTCTGTCAACAAAAACTTACTATCATTCATCTAAATACCTATATTACCCCTCAATAATTCGGATCCCCTGCTTCTCTTGATCCACTTTTAAATCACCTAATTATAGCAACTATATTCTTATTAATTATTCTTCTCTCTTATTTTATTATTTTTTGCTTTTCATTCAAGGATAAATCTGTCATTCTACTTTTCTTGTCAAAAACCAAATCATATTCGTTATTTTTCTCTCTTTCTTCTCAACGGTCAAGTGCCAAAAGTTACTTCAAATTACCAATTACCATTGTTGTTGGAATTCACAGGTGCTCCAATTCCAATACATGTAAAAGTAAATATTTGATTTTAAAAATTATATTCAAATTCATACATAAAATACGTAAAAAGTAGTAGTATCATTAAAATTTCGTTAATAATTAGTATTTAACTTATTTAATACATTGATAAAAAAAACTTGTTCAATACATAATAAAATAAAAAAATAAATACAAATCAATGTCATCTCTTTCCTTTTCTCATTAGTTATTACTAAGTTTTGTCAACAAAAAAATAAATTATTACTAAGTTACCTTGATTTGTACACTATTAACCCTTCGTTTCAAATCTTCAAAAAAAAAAACTTCGTTTTTAAATATAATTTTTAATTACCTATATAATTAAAAGTTGCTTCGGACTACCTTTACTCTTGTTATATAATTTTAGATTGAGATTAAAGATATTCAATATATCATTAGTAATTCACTACTCTTCTCCCTCACTATAACATATCTTTCTTTCTTCTTCTTTTTTTTTTGGACAAAACTCAATATAATATATCTAAAACCTCATCTCAACAAATTTTTAGTCTAGAGTATGTCTATTGCAGTTGGCATAGTAACTAATAAATAGTAGGAAAAAAAGGTCAAAATAATTGTTAAAATTCAAATAATATGGGGAAGAGACGGAGCCTAGTCACGTGTTCTCCGTGCGATTCTGAAGTAAGTCAAAAGATATTTTATTGTGTGATTCTATTACACCTACCTTTCTCCATAATAACCCTAAATATAAATATGTCGACTAGGGCTGCCAATTTATTATTATTTTTATTTTTTGAACGAATTGAATATACTTTTTTCAAAATCACCAAAACGGCGTAAGTACGCGTACAGCATTTTATTTAGGGTTGCGTAAAGTAGTACATTAGGCAGCATTTTTTTATTTCTCTTCTGAAAAATATATATGTAAATTGACGTTCAAATGATCTTTACCAGACTTTTACTTTTGTTCCAAGCCTAATCAATGTGATTCTTCCCATTTCGTAAGTAAGATATAGGAAACTTTAGAAATTTGAGCAAATTGATGGGTTATGAATAGCAGAGAATAAGTGGGGCTAGAACCAGAACCGAGAAGAGAGAAAGAGAGTGATTATCGGAAAGGGCATTGAAGTAATTTAATTTGGTGAATTGACGATTTGTTCTGACACACGCATGTTGCTGTGGACGTAGGTATCCTTTACCCAAACACTCAGGAATGAGGAAACGGCATGTGTTAGCGGACACGTGTGAGTGGCACATGAGACAGGTGGCACATGGCTGTTCTGCCGACAGAGGGACACTGGACACGGAACAGGACCCAACCACATACTGAATAAATAGAATCAGCCAGCTCCCAAAGTCATCATTTCATATGCTTCATAGATTCTTTTTTTCTTATTCAAACATCTAATTACGATTTGTGAAAAATATTTGTTGAAATTCATTAAAAGCAACATTAGTGGAGTGTGCGTAGAGTTATTGGAACTCAAACACGCGGTGGACACGGCTCAAAGGATAACAGATAACAGATAAAACATCCAATCCCTTTCTTTTGTGGATTATCTTTACTTTAGTGGACCCATTTTCATGACAGATAGATTCATCAACACAACATTTCTCTTATTTGCAGCTCATCAGCTCTGCTTTTTATTTTATTTACTAATTAAAGGTGTTCAATCAACAATAACACTCACGAGTTCAAATCTTGTATTAAAAAAAAACACGTAAAAGTTCAACATTAAACATTACCTGTTTTTAGTTAGCTTTCATGTCACGTTTTAAGAACACAGTAACACATGTATAATGTATAATAACAAAAATCGTCTCCAGTATTTTCTTTAATATTATATTTTCTACCTTTCAAATTAGTTAAAATTCAAATATTTTTTAAGTCTTTATAATTTTACTTATTTTTTTTTTAACTCTTATAATTTATGTGTTTATTTTTAATTTATTTTTAATGTTATAAAAAATTTAATAAGAAGAAATAAAAATATTAAAAAAATTATAAATATAAAAACTTAAAAAATTATCTTAAATTATATAAACTAAAAAATAAAATAAGTAAAATTATAAAGATTAAAAAAAATATTTTAACCATTATTTTAAAACATCACAGGAATTCTACTGATAAAAAAATCAGTGAGATGATGACTCTAATAAGTCCAAGATGGTGGAATGCTGGCGCAATGATCTCTTCGACGCGGACTGATTATGAACACTCAACTAAACAACTTTTCTCACATTTCTTTTATTTTATTTTATCAAGGTGGGCCGAATACGTTTTCTAAAGCCCAATGATTATTTAAAATAAAAGGAACAAATGGCAATAGTATGAAAGTTTTAATTAAAAAACATTCATAATGTAAAATTCTTTATATTCACTCGTGTCTCTAATAATTATACATAAATATAAAATTATAATATTACGGATAATTATTTAAATAATATATATATATATATATAATTTATATCTGAGAAATATAATAATTTACTTAAAAAATAGAGATAAAAAGTAATTATATATTAATAAAGATAATGTATCAACATTAAACTCAGTATGAAATTTTAGGAAAAAAATTCAAATGCATTCATAAATAACAAAGTCTTACCGCTTCTAACGAATTAATAGTTTATAAGCTTGGAGCAAGTAAACGACTCACATGAAATCGCATAAATTAATAGTTTTAATTTCTTTTATTTTTGAATACACCAAGTCAATATTGATACTCCAAAACCAAATTTAAGGCATCAATAAATCATAACATCAAACCGAATGAAGGAGTAAATTCAATTTAATTGAGTCCTTGAAGCCTCGTGGTTTCATCTGATTTGTAAAATTCATTTGATTGTAAAATACGGTTTGGTATTGACAAGCAAAATTGATGGGCATATGAACACATTGCTAAATTCTATTTCTTTAAAATTGAATGCATCATTCGTTTTGTAACTTTCTCCAATACTAGTCTTTGTGAAGTAGGTAACAATGATAGAATGGGAAATCATCTGAAGTTGCAGCATCTTGCACGACCTCTTGACAACTTGTCCCATAGACAGAGCATTTGCCTTGGTGATTGATAATGTGCAGTGAAGTAGCCCTCCATGCATCCGTACTGACAAAACTTCCAGTTGTGGGAGTACTGAACGGCGGCCACCGTTTTGTTAAATCTCTCAACCCACATTCCCAAGCTTACATCCTCCATTTTAAAGAGCTGCCACCACAAACAAATGTTTCACCAATCAATATTCAATAACTAACTGGAACTGGAACTAGTTATAGAATATGTATAAAGATGCAATGTTAAAGGACAAAGATTGTGGTAACAAACCCGCAGCCTCCTCTCCTTGTGTTGAGATATGATGAAAGTAACAATGTCTCTGGAAATTATGTATGCAGGGCCATTTGCGTAAGGAGGATATACTTCTTCAGGCCACTCCTGCACCAATTAATATGACAAGGGAGGTGGTAAATATAAATGACAAAATAAGTTATGAACCCACAATATAAAGCTAATCATAAACAACCATGTATAGTGACTTTGTTGATAGCTAAAAGCCTACATTTTTTTGCCCCGCCTTTGTTTATGACCCTATTTTGGGCAAAACGAGTTTCACTTGCATAGAAGGATCTGTTGGAATACACATGTAACTAAACATAATCTATATTTATAAGCTTCTAAGCGCTGGAGAACTATCATTTCAAAAATCAATCAGAAATGTGCACCCTTGCTCATTACCTGCAAGTTCAACTAAATGTAACTACTATCATACCTCAAAAGTAACGGCCCATTTGCCATTTCTTAGAGGCCGATGCAAGAGATTGAGATTGCCCATATAAAGGGGCTTTTTCCGGGGTACAGCTTCAATTTCTTTCAAGACAGTATCCACCCTGACAAAAGTGTCGTCATCACATTTCATGACATATGCGGCAGTCACATTCTGAACCTGCATGAAAGAAAATTGGTTTGTATAACTGCAGAGAACAGAAAAAAGACTTCGGAGCCACAAGAGTTGCACATTTTGAGGGATGTGACTGGACAAATGCAATTCAACTACCCCCCCAACATGTGTACAAAAATAGAAGAAACGCAATATCTGACTAAAAATTTAAAAATGAACTCACCCCAAACTCACATATAGCCATGGTTTTAAGCACAACAAGCTCGTAGCGGTCCATAAACGGCAAAATGATGATATCACCAAAGTAAGCAGCTTCCTTTCTCAGCACTGCATTAACTTCCTTCCTTGGATTCTTCATGTTGATGTTTAGAAATTAGAACAGGTAAAAACACAGAAAAATCAGCCATATCATATCAACAAGAATAATAATAGTGAAGAAGAGAAAATTTTAAAATACATAGAATGCCCTTCAATCCCAAACAATTACATAACTGTTTTTTTTTTAATCAGTAGAATCTAATGATGGCAATGAGGATCAAACTTAAGTCTTCATGCATCTACTCCACTTACCTACCATTAGGTCAACCCTAGTGGTTAACTAGTTGTGGTTGAATTGAAAAAATGATTTTCTCTTCACAAATTGCATTATATTTCATAGAACTCTGATATACTTGCATTTATTTACATTATTATGTTACTCAGTCCAAAGGGAAAATTATTCTTCACTGATTCAGGAGGATTAAAAATATAGGAAGTAATTTGCACAAGCAATAAAGGTTTCGTTAAACCAACCAATGTAACCCAAAACAGCAATCTCATTCCCATATAAACTATGCATTTAATGCCTAAGAAACCCTGATCCTAGAGCACATTTCATCTTCTCTTTTACTTTCTATAATCAATTTCAGCAGCCAACAAGGAGGTATGACTGTCGTATCTAAATTTATTTCAACAAATATTGGCAATAAATTATAGCAAGACAACCAGTAAATCATTATTAGCATTTTTTGTTATGTGAGAAATGTATAAAAAGCTGAAGTTATCTTCTGTGTCACAGACTTTTCTGTTTATTGTATTTTAAATTTTGAAGTGAATGACCTCGCAAAAAAGCTTGTGATTCTCTTCTCCATGAAATTATAAAATCAGTTCTACTTCTATGGCATGCTTGGTATGATGTAGAACAATCCAAGGGCGATCTCTTGACAGGGTTCTCCCTTATAAACAAACCAAAATTACTCATCTTGGCAGATTGTTCTCCAACTCAAATATCAGAAACTCAATTTCTCTTTTGAATGAAGGAAACCCAATATTATGTAATTATCAAAAAGTTTCTCAAATGTTTACATTAAAGATCTATCTTAGTAATAGGTTACTCCTATTCTAAGCTGGAATAAGATAATTCAAAATAGAATACAATGCCTAAATAAGACATAACAAATTATCCCAATCAACAACTCTTATTGTGACAATCAAAGCCTAAATAAAATAATAAAACTACAAAATCCAATCTGCATCATGGTATTACGAAAATTTCACTCACACACCAGATTAAAATAAAGGTTGTGTTCATGAGTCACTATACGCTTCTACGCCAAATAAAAATAAAGCCAGAAGCCTTACCAAGGCAACAAAAAATCGTACTACCACATCTGAGGACTTGACTGCAGCTGCTTGCATCCAAGTTTTCCGAACTGCCATACGTTCTGCAAAGTGATTTGAAGCAGAAAGAACTCCAATAAAAAGTCTAATGGCATGTTTAGGTAGAGCATTGGCTTTCCAGGTCTCTGACATTTCCAGTACTCTCTGAGGTGAGAAACTTTGATGTGAAGTAGGGAGAGAAGTAGAAAAAACTGAATGAACATCTAGGTCCCCTTTAACTACCAATCCTGTAGCATCTTCAAGTGTAAAACCCTGATGATAAAGTGGAAAAGAAAAGTCAGCTAGACAAACTTTGTAACCATAGTAGCATGCATTATAGAATACAACAATTAATTCCAATTATTCTTGATGTTAATCTAAGCATGATCCTTCTACAAATGGTAAGAGAGATATCACCAGTATAAATTATAATATGGCTGATGTACACCATAGACCAAATTCTGTCTATAGAACACCACATAAAATGCAAGAGGAATTTGCCGCCAGGAAATTCATAATTTCATGTTATTGAAGTCTGTTTGAATATTAAATCATGCTATTTATGCTAGAATGTATATTTATGCTATGTATCATGTTCATTAGCTGGTAATTAGGCCACACAAGTTAGTCGCTAATAATTAGGCTGTAACTTAGTTTCTAGTTAACTCCTAATTACCTCCTTGATTACTCCGGTGATTGATTGTAATCAAGCTATGAATAAGAGATCAAGTGTAGTCCGTTAGCACAAACTTCTCTCAATAATTCTCTTTCAACCATGTACAATATGTAAAATAAAATGAACAACACAAAGAAGCCCATCCCCTTGAATAATGATTGTCATGAATAACTTAATCACACAATTTCACTCCATCGAGATATTTAGTGCAAACATAACATGAAAACATCTGTCATCTCTCAATTTACTTACTGTACGATATGGAAATGAAGTCATGTGGCGTCCCCCAACGTTAATATGGTATCCATCAACACCAGCACGTAATGTAAGGACAAACATTCTACCCTCTGCAAAAGGAAATGGCCAGGTCATTTCTGGCTTCTGCTTACGCCCTATAAACCGCTTGAACCATGATGTGGTCTTGGATTCTTTCGAGTCTACAATGTCATTCCGCATCCATTTTTCACATCGCCTATACCCATCAACTGCCAAGCATGATCAAAAGGTTTACTTGTACATTAAATTAACACTCTCAAAGAAGATCAACGAATTCTGCAGAAAAATAAATTAAAGGATTATGGAACACCTTTATCATTATATTAGACGTAATGCTATTCTATATAAAGCTATTATCCCACTACATTGTAAAATAGTCGAACAGTCAAGAATTATTTTCTCAGAGCTTCCATTCTGTTATTTATCAAATAAAAATAAAGATCAAATGAATCCCCATATCACAAAACTAAAGGAGTTATATTAATTTATCATCCTTGTCTCTTTAGTCATATACTTTCTTGTGATTATCAGGGAAAAAGGTAGCCTTCATGAAAAAAATAAATAAGTTTTTTTAAAAAGATAGTGGGTAGTTATTTTTTATATATACATTTTTCCTATTTTATCCTTAAATATATATTGATGAAAAAAAAATTAGAATATAACCCACCAAAAAGGGGTATGCCCTTTATATATTGTTAAAAATAAATTATAGATTCTACAAACTGATTATCCATAGCTGCAAAATTATGGATATACACTGCCAGCCAAAATATGTTGTCATTATGGTATAGTCTTAACATCCTCGGATTTTACATCAACGAAATCTGGAAACGGGACCTTATATCTATAAAATCTGTTCATGCCACAACAATCTTGCATCTAATCTGATTCTTAATGTATGTTTGGATTTGATCAATGTTTACCCAAAACCAGCTTTTGAGTCGCAAACTCACTACAAAATTTTGATCAAAAGCTTTTCAGAATACAAAACAAGCTAATCCAAACTTTCACTACTATATTAACCATATAACTTATAACAAGAATAAGCATTACATCTGCTGTGTTTCCATTAGCAGCACACAGCAAACAAACAATAAGTTTTCTTTTGCTAATAATTTAAGCAACAAAATACTCCTTATTTTCATGCTCATTTGTCACCTTTTTCTCCTTATTCCATCAATTTTGAGATTACTAAGGGTTTGTTTGGATAAACTTTTCTAAAACCACTTCTGTGAGAACAAAATATGAAGAAAAAATGAAATAAGTTTCTTCATAAGTTAAAATTAACTTATGCATAAACTAATCTGTAGAAATTCTCTCCTATTAACTTTTCCAAAATCTCATTTTTAAGTCATGCATATGTGAGCTTTAACTTATGGAGAAACTTATCTTCATTTTCTTTCCTATTTTTCTCTCGTCTAAGTACTTCTAAAGAAGCTTATCTAAAGAGGCTCTAAACCTATCTACTTTCCTATTTTCTTCCCATTCTACATCACGATGAGAGTAAAGAAGCTTATGAATAAAAAACATGATAAAATCATACCAAGCATTTCTTCAGAACTCTCAGATGGCAGACCATCACATCTTTGAGCTTTTCCCCAGTGCATCCGGTAACAAGTATTATGCTCAATAACTGGACTTTTGCTCCAATCCCCTCTCAACCTAGGATTCAAGTGAAGAATCTTAGGAGGATCTTCCCCCTCCACCGACTTCAGCCCTTGTAATTCAATCACAAACTGCGAAACCGAAACCAATACCAATCCATCCCCTTTCCTCTTCCTAGCAAGCATAGGAGCATACTCCTTGTGAGCATAATGGGGTGTCCCCACCACAGTGATTGAAGAACCAGCAGCAAGACCACAAGGAAGAAACATCAACCCGTCCCCCTTCAACAAATCTTCCCTACTCATCGATATCCAAGAAGGACACGTCTCAGCCTTTCCCTCAATTACAGAGCTTTCTACAGCCTCCTTATCATCAACCTGGTCCAAATCTTTCCAGGCCTTCAACCCCAATGTCCAAGCCTCATCTGCCATTCTCTGAAACACAGATGAATCACCAGTCCTATTCCTATACCGCAAGATTTCCCCGGTAATCCTACCATATCCTTGAGGGTTTTTCTTCACAGATTCATGGCCATGATCTTCCTCCTTCATTGGTTCCTTGTATGGCCTCAAGGGAGCATCTTTATCCCTGTTATCCACTAACCTCCATTGAAATACATCTTTATAAACAGAACTAACAAAAGGTTTGCTCAAATCTGCATCTTCAGTGTCCCCAATAGCTGCCACCCTATCCAATCCAATTCCATCGTAACTCTCATCCCCACTCAACGATGACACAACTTTCATAAAGTGTGAAAAGTTACACGATATAAAAACCAAGTACAACACCCCAACACCGAACAAAAAATGTGACAATCTAAACCTCCTCGAATTGGGAGGTTCGCTTTTCAATCTCTTCATCTTCCAAAAAACAATTTTTTTTTTTAAAACCAAGAGTACAATGTAGTCTACAACAAGCCCCTCAAAAAACCCAAAAGCTGAAGGCAAACCCACCAATCGAAGGAAAACGACATGTAGGAAAACAACGGTTGGTGGGTTGAGGAAAAGAATCAAAGTTGCATGTAAATGAAAAGAAATCAACCAATGCCACAATAGTTCATTTCAGGGCATTGGCGTGGGAGGCGCAGTGTGGGAAGCAGCATCTGCAGAAGATGGTAATGGTAATGGTGAAGGTACTGCCTAGATCTTGGAATTGGTCTTCAGTGTTGGGGTGGAATCATGTCACCCTCTCTACCTCATTCGATACTTCAAGGAAGGTACTGTCCAAGAAAATAAATAAACAAATAAATTTTAACTCTTCGTCCCTGTTACATCTTATAAGAACTGAATTCCATACGATGGTTTCATGATTTAGTTTTGTGGTTTTTTAAGCCTTTAAATACAAGTTACACACGTTCCCATGGATAAACGTTAAAAGTAACGAGTTTATAAAAACTGCATCCATAATTAAACCAACCGTTCAATACAATACTTTCATAATTTATTATTGTATTTGGATATCCGTTTATAATCCTTCAAATGGAAGATGCACACGTTTCAATGGATACACGTAGAAAGTAAATAGATTCATGTTACGGTCTAACGAGTTTACAAATATACACTTACTACATATTTTAATATCTGTTTAAAATCAAGAGAAAAACACGTAAATTCTTTTTTCAACTCAATTAATTTTTAGACACACCAATTTTTTACTAAAATAAAAAATATTATAAAAATAGTCATAATAAAGATCCAATTTTCACTTATTATTAATATTGTTAGCGTTTTACACAAGTACATGATAACTTGCTTTGAATGAAGGGAATGAAAGGGGCAGGCGCAGCGTGGATAGATAAGTTTGGCTGGAATGCCACAACAAGTCAAATAATTTTTATACACTTGGAAAGTTGCAATTAAGGCCGTTTGAGTAAGGGGTCATAGTTTTATAAAATTCATTTTGCAAGGATAAATTAGCCTTCAAAAATATAATAATATCTTTATATTAAATCCATTTTATTAAGGTTAAAAAGTTAAAACATACCTTTTATATTTTGAAACTAATTTTATAATATTATGGAAATCAGTTTTTTTTTGTAAATTTACTTTTTAATTTTTTAACATTATTTAAACATAAGAATTTCTAAAACAATAATTATATCAAAATATAAAATAAATGAGCCCTCACTTATTTATATAATTTCTCAAATTTCTTTCGTTGAAAGGAAAAATGTTTAAACATCTAATTGTTATTAGAATTTTTTTAATTTATTTTGGGATTAGGATTTGTCTTATTTTCATGAATTTTTTTTTCTTTTTTACTTTTGGAATCGTTAGAGTTGATCTCGTGGTAGGGGTTGAGATAATATATATAGAGTCAAAGGTTTGAATCTAATATCATCATTATAATTTTGTTAGTTTGAAAAAAAAAATCTCTTACAAAACCTTAGTAAAAAGGTATATTAAGATCTTCAACTTACTTTTTTTCAAGTAAAAAAGGGTTTAAATGAGTTTAGATTCTAGAGGCTCTTTAGGATAAGATAAACCTCAAAACTCTATGAATACTTATAAAAATACTTATAGATTACTTATCAATAAGATCTTCATATCAGTAGCAAGAAGTTGAGGTCATATTCTTTTGAGATATGAGTTTATTTTTTACCAATTGGATCAACCTTTATCAGTCTTCAACTTATTTTTTCAAGTTACTTGCACCACCATCATATAATTAAAAAGAAAAGTTTGAATATGTTTTTAAGTCTATTAAAACTAAGCTAAATTTATTTTTCTCCTCAAATTTAAAATTAGTTATTTTAGTCATTGTAATTTAAAAAAAAAGAAGACTTATTTTAGTATTTATGGTCAATAGTAAAGTTATATGTTATGTAGTGTTATAGTAATTGTGCTGACAATGCCTAAGGCATGTAGTTGAGTTGTATTGATTAACTTAAGGTTAAAGAAGATATATTTTTAAAATTTGAATATCCCATTACAAGGATATAATGTTGTGATACTTTATAAGTTTAGTTGTTAAAAATCCTTCTTAAAAATTTAACTCTTGAAGTGGGATGTTGAATTTCCTATAAAATATTAGTTGATACAATATGGGGTCAGATCAAACCACATTGATTGTAAGCAACCAAATATAAATCTGCACAAGGGCATGGTCATACATGTATGAAGTGACCAAAATCGAGTAAGGTACAAGGTCAAAGGCCACACATAGATTTAGAGGGTAGTCAACGAACTAATTCTATAATAGACTTAGTTATGCATGTTAAGATTGTGATAAGCTCGGACTCAAGTTATCTTACTCTGACAAAAATATTGAACTTCCCTAATTAAGTAGCAAAATATGAGAAATCGTGTTGAGTTGTGAATTTCTATCCAAATTTGTTGCTGATATAGCAAGTTCAAAAAGATCGTGTTGTTAAGTTAGTTTGATAGAGTCAAGTTACTTAAATTGTTCACTTGTATTGTAGGAGATTTCTTAGTTGAAATATGTGATAACACATATAATTGTCATGTTGTGCATATGTTGTAGTGTTGATATGTTGTGTTGTACATATGTTAGGTGATTATGTTGAGAAGTTGTATTATTGTGTAGTAATTCAAAATGTTGTGTTGCCAAGTTATAAACTTTTGTTGATATGTTAATCTATGTTGATTAAGTGGAACCTTGTGTTGTGATGGCTATGGAGTTTGTTGGAGTTGTGTATTGTTAGTTTTATGCTTTTATACTATGTTGTTTCTTTTGAATCTAAGTTTACCCCTACATGGTTGGACTACAATGATCATATTCATTATAGAAGCAGGGTAGGAACATGCTTGAGGAGTACATGTTGAGAGTCATGCTAGAGGATGGTGGTATTGTTGAGCTAACCTAGTGTAGCTATATATATTTATTGTAGTTGTTTGATTGACAACCTAGATTTATGCTACCTATCCATTATTACTGTATATACATATATGTATAACTTATAATTGTAATCCATCTAAGATTCTATAAAAAGAAGAAACAAAAAAAAGTGAAAAAATATATATACAAGAACAAAAGTAATAATATTTATTTATAAACAACAATTCTTAATGACCCTTAACTTTATAGTGGTGACTTTTGTTTTCAATCTCCATTGTTTACAACTTCTACTATATTAATTTTAAAATAAATTATTAATAATTAAAAATAATATTATTTTACAATATAAATCATTCATCATAAATTTAAAGTATAATTTATATATTTAAAAATATTTATTTATTCAGATTTTAAATATAATTTATATTTTTTACATGCATAATTTAAAAAAAATCTTAATTACATATAATAAACCTCTAACATGTGTATTGAACATGCTAAAATATTAATGTCATACAAATTTAAAATATGCTTAAACATGTTTTTAATCCTTACAAAATGAACAAATTTTGATTTTAGTCTTTACAAAAAATATTTTTTGTTTTTCATCATCTAAAATTTAGAAGTATTATCTTTAATTCATGTTATTATATAATTATTTTTCACTAATTTATTTCTTAAAAGATCAAATGACCATCTCACGTGTTATCTACAGTAGTTAGTAACATCATATCAATGTGAGTTACCTCTAAATTTTTTTATAGGTTTTTAAAATAAATATTACTACCTCTTGTCCTTTTATACCCTTAATTTTTTTTTAATTCTACTTTATATGCATTCATTTATAACCAATATTAAATATAACAACAAATTAAAATAAATGATACATTAAAAATAAAATTTAAATTTATAATATTTGTTTTAAAACAATCATTTTAATTACTTTTTTTTATCTTAATTTATAATAATTACTTATAATTAGGATCAAAGATAATATTTATCTAATTAAAAAAATTTAAAGATGAAAAATAATAATTTTAGATTTTAAATAAATAGAAATTTATAAAAATTAAAATTAAAAATCACTTATTTTAAAAAGTCAAATACTTTACGAATATAAAAAACAATGTTTATAAAGTTTTTAAAAATAAAAACAAATATTTTTTTTTTACAAATTCCAAAAATAAAAAAAACTATCTCTATTTTACAATATTAAAAAAGATATTTAAACCTTTAAAATATTTATAACATGCGAATAATTTAGTTATGAGAAGTCAAACTTGCTTGGCACGCATTGTATACGTGGCGGTGAATATAATATAACTATAAATTGGATTTTTGATATTGAAAGACCCCTGTGGGTTTGGAATTGGGGATTAGGGTTCAGAGCGAAGATGATCGAGGTTGTGTTGAACGATCGATTGGGGAAGAAGGTGCGCGTGAAGTGCAACGACGATGACACCATCGGCGACCTGAAGAAACTGGTGGCGGCTCAGACGGGCACGAGGGCCGACAAGATCCGCATCCAGAAGTGGTACACCATCTACAAAGATCACATCACTCTCAAGGATTACGAGATCCACGACGGCATGGGTCTCGAACTCTACTACAACTAAATTCAAGGTCCATTCCCTTCTCAATCATTCGTCCTTTTCATTTTTCTAAAGACATGCTATTAGGGTTTCCCACTTTTGATTTCTGCAATTTGCTGTCACAATCTTATATTATCTACCGATGTCTGAGTGGTATTCAATCCTAACGTAGAGGTTTCGTTTACTTTTGTAACAATAGTATTGAATTTTGGTTTTTGTTTCAGGTGTGTTTTATGCAGAATATACTATGCGCTGAGAATGGGAAAAGCGCCGAATGTAATTTTGACTTGCGAAAAACCCCTTGCTTTGAATAATGTACATCCCCATGACATTGGGTTTATATACCGTTGACACCTTACGATGCTTTCTTATAACTTATATCTGATGACTTGTTTCTAGCTTCATTTGGGTGCGCTATTTCTTCCTGTAGAGTCTATGTCTATCTATTCAATCTATCAAGTGTTTGATTTTACCAATTGCTTGGTCATCAATCAACTACTTTGCCTACTTCAATTCACTGGACAATGGATATTTGACATAATGGTTGGCAAATTGACAGTGCTCTATGTGTTTAATATATATGCTGTTTCGATAATTAATGAAAAGGCCGTGAGAAAATAGTTTCTTCTACGTGGTTTAATTTGCATTAGATTCATGGTTCGCGGTATAAATACACTGTATAAAATTGCCTTGGGTAATTCTAATTGTAGTTGTATTGTTTTGGCCACCCATTGGAAACCACTGATATAATAGAAACATACATGTTGAAAATTGATATTTGACTTGCGTTTTAGTTTTACTTTTTCTCATAGTAGTTAATCTGGAATCAAGATTAGTATGTTAACTCGATGGAATCAGGTGTTTAAAGTGACATTTCATTCTATTCATGAAGTTCGTGGTTGAGTGATTCTTTATTCTTTATACTGATATTTGACTCTTGAATGCACAAAATGTACAACGTGACCAATGATTCTATTAAAAAGTTAACCGATAATTTTGTATTTGCCTACTGAAATTCATCTTCGAGAACATTTTCCGTTTTTGAAATGATGGAAGCGACCTTGTCTTCAACAATGATTTCTTTTTCGATCAAAGCTCAGAGATGACCTTTATTGCATCATAGCGATATCATTAGAGACTCGCAGGCTCTTTACTACTCTAATTGAGATACCTTGACTAATACAAATTAGGTCAAACCAGATTGCCAACTTCTCACCTTGAGTGGATAAAACTTCCCCCTTTCATTATCCGCATGTGTACGCAAGATCTGCCGTTGGTTTGTAACCGGCGAGCTTCAGTCCTGGGTCTTGTTTCTCTAACCATTGAATATATTTTATGGTTCGAGATATCATCCATGAAGAGCTCATGAACTGTGTTATCCATCTCTACCCAACTGCTGCCAGGTGTTTCAATCAATCTATTATTGCATTTGTATACCAAAAAAAAATCGCATTTTCAATATGCACGCTGCTGCTTCACCTAGAATTCCCATTGAACCATAAATATTGGCGCTTTAAACAAAGCCCCAGAATGGGATGTCTCAAATTAAAAAATGTATTGCTCCACACGTTTCCCTCTGCAACTTTGTATTCGACAGTCAAGTAATTATGCTTCATGGACATTGAGCTAATTAATATTTGTTTGGATACCAATTTAAAGTTACGTTCAATGCAAAAACACATGTTTTGATAAAAAAAAAGTTTGAGTATAGTTTTTTAAACTCCAATTAAACTTAATTCAACTAGTTTCTAAACACATTTTTAGTTTCTCTGCTTCATCCAGACGAGCAATGCTACTTAGAAAATCCACCACATAACCTTGTTGGAAGAAATTCCATACACTTACCATATCTAACTACTCAAGCCCCTTATCCCTCATTCCAAAATGAGTACATGCTGTTTCCAATCTCATAAAAACAACTGTTTAAATATGTTTTTAGTTCTTTACAAATATATTCAATTTTGTTCTCAAATGTAATTTTTTAATTTTATATTTTTTTTTATCGTAATTCCTATATTGAAAATTTGTTAATGAATTTGTGAAATAAAACTTATTTAGAAGCGTCATTGTTTTAAAACATTACATTAAACACTTGTTTAAAATCATCATATTAAACTTAAGCTGGCCTAATCAATTTTAAAAGATCAAAATATCAATTTTTAATTTGACAGATAAAACAAATTCACTCAAATTTAGAGAATTATAAATATATTAAGCCTAAAAATATTATCTAGCTCATTTCATGTTAAACATTTCTCTAAAACAATTAAAATCTTCATTAGCATGCGAGGCATCGCCAAGTCAATGATAATAAATTAGTAATATTTGGAGAGATCACATCTTTCTTCCGCATTGTATCGAAGGCCACCCTAGCATCAACTATGTACCCATACTTGCATACATATCCGCTAAAGCATTCCCGCAAAACAGCCCTTACTCCTCTTGCTTTTGTCTTATAAACCTATATATATCCACTTCTCCAGATCAAGTGCACAAGCAGGCTACACACTGTTGCATCTGTCAACAAATCAAATGGCACCACCACATCGCTCATTCTGTGCATAACCAGCAATCATGACATTCCACACGAGATCAGAGGTGGCGGGGAAGAGGGTAGGTGACAAGTTGGCTTTGTATTTGGTAGGGTTGGCACATGATTAGTTGTTGTGCACACTTTACCACTTCACAATGTTCAAAATGTCAATTTCTCATAAAAAAATACTTAGCTTCTTCGGAAAATAATTTTGAAAACTATTTTTTTAAAATAACTAAGATTATTATTTGGTGATTTTTACATTAGGTAATATCCAAGTATTCAATTCTCATGTTACACGTTTTCAGGATACTCGTGCGTGGACTGGACAGAATACAATCAGCAGAATCTTATTTTATTCAAAGCGGAATTGTATTAGTATTAGTATCATATATCCCGGTGGTTACCACATTGTTCGGTTAAAATAAAGATTAATTAAAATAAATAAATTTTCTGCATATACCTAATGAATTATAAACTCATTTTCATCTTCACGATTGCAATTCTCTGTCTTCATGCGCAAAAATCTAAAATTGGTTGGTCATTATACTAAATGTAAAATAAAGATTATTTTTGTTTCTCTGCTCTATAGCATGTGCATGTAGTTTTGTATTTACAGTGTCTATATCATCTACCTAATCAAAACACAACTTCTGCAGGCTGCCATATCCTAGTATTCATTAACAACATGGTCAGATACAGCCTTCGGGAGTGAATGGATATATACGTTAGTACTTTGTCATTAGTGAGCCAAGTGTCCTTCAAACAAGAAAAAACCTCATAAGTTAATCTAGACAGGTAACAAGCTAAGGAATAAATAGGAGTGGCCACCCCTGAGAGCCTCAATTAGAAAGTGCATCATGGTCACCCTAGAGTTTCAAATCTAACACGATCTCACGTTTGTATGTACCAAGCTAATGAATAAATAGATCTAAAACATTGACTGTATACAACCATCTTACAACTAAAGTGGTCAGAGAAAGCAGGAAGAGCATATGATGCTATAAGAATTCAGAAATCTTCAACACCATAAGGAGTGATGGCCACAATTTCTCCTGTCACACAGAGTAATGTAGAAATGTGAGAATAGAATTCCCTGAATTTTAATTTTTTTTTTGTACTAACACGTTATTCTACCCACAAATTTGATTGGGAAGTTACAAACACATTTGGAAAGAAAAACAGATAAATGCATGGTAGAAGAAATTAAATTATGTCCACTTACTTGAGCTATGAAGTTTATTGAACCCTCTCAAGCATTTTCATGATCTGGTTTTCCATTCGTAGTGGACGATGATGTCTTTGTATCATTGCTATTTGATTCTTTTTGATTGCGACGCTCTGACTTTTTTCTAAAGCCAAACCTTTTTGGGAAAATATTCCAACTTTTCTTTGTCTTTGTCAACTTTTGCAGATCATTTCTAATGCTTGAGCATTCCTTCTCCAGCTCCAAAAGACGTTCCCTCAAGTTTTCAGTTCCCTCTGCTGAGTCCCGTTGACAAGTATCATTATTTGGGAGGCCAAGATTTCCTTGGTTTTGTGCGTTCTCAAGGTTTTCAGAAACAAAGAACCAGCCTGATATTGATGTGCGGAGTCTAAGCTGTTCAAAGAACAGGACTTGAACGATTACTCGTAGAGGCAATCTTTCATTTTGTGCTGCATGAGTGCTCGCTTCCAATGAGAGCTTTTGGCAGTTCATCAATCTGCAAAGTTGCTCCCGTTCAGAATCTATCAGCCACGGATGTACCTGTAGTTGTAAGAGTTTCACGTTAGAATTATCATATTTGAAACAGTTTGGCACAAAAGAAAACAAAATAAAGTTGAAATGGTACTTTATTGTAAGATCTTTGTGCTAAATCTATGGTGTTAGGATATCTAGTAAGAAGTCAGTGAAATAAAGTGAAGTCAAACATAAAGAGATAAAACAAAGGGCTTAATGATCATTTATTACCTGCCTAAAATAATTTTACATTGTTAACCAATCAAAAAATTGTTATGATTTTTAAGACATTATATAAGTCAATAAATTTACTACATATTATTATTTGTGAATCTGTGATTGGATGAGTGTAAAACTGTGCATAATCCATTTTTTCTAAAACAAAATCACCATTCCATTATTTAGATTTATGACGGAATGAAAGAAAAAGTCGGATCTATTCCCTACCCTCCAAATTAGAGGGAAAGAAAAAGAAAGATACCGGATGAAATGGAATTTAATGCATTCCATCACATTTTAAATAGTCTGAACCATAAAACCTATTTATGTTCTATTCCATTATGCTCTATTCTTTGAGAGATTCATTCACCAAATAGGCTTGTTAAGCATTCTTTTTTTCTTTGTTATGAATTCAATTTTATATTCTTTCTCAATATAGCTACTGTAGCTTTCAAATATCGCCAATACTATTATGGTCCATTATGTCTTCCTCAATTTCAGTTCTTTTTCAGAAGTTGTAATATCTATCTATTTATATACCAAAACATCTAGTAAACCAGAAACATAAAACGGGTGTATAAAGTATAAACTCATTTCTAGGGCAAGCTAGGGTATCCAAAATGATCTAACCTTAAGGTATACATCTATTGCATGGTATATACCATCATCAAGTGGCCTAGAATAATCTGGAATTGCAACAGCAAGTGTTTGAAACTTGGTCAAGTTCAAATTAGTATCTGAAGCCACCTCAGCAAGATATCCATCAACCAAATTCGCCACCATTGTCATAGGTGTCAATGCATCAGCTCCAGCTATTAATGCTCCCTGTTCAATTATACATGGAGAAGCTGCTACAGATGCAGGCATGTATATAGACAAAAAATGATCAAGAACCCTCTGAATGCAGTCTATATCATAGAGTGTCTCCACCGAGTATCCCATATTTGGTATGAGAAGATCCACAAGTGAAGCCTGGTCTAGTTGAGCTCCTACCCTTTTCTCCAAGTTTTCTCTACATGATGGACTTGCACTCAATATCATGGCTGTGCGGAGCATCCTAAGCAGGTGCTTTGAGGATGTCACCCCTCTCTTATTAGGAATCAACTCCACAATTTCCTCCAATAGTGCCCTTTGATCTGCTTCAGAAGTATTAGGAATGGTAGCATGGCTTGTATCAGTGAAGCTTGATTGCCTATTCATCAATGGGAGAAACCTCCTAAGATAATATATGAGAGATGCAGCAACAGCCTCAGATTTCATTCCTTTTGCTTCGATGGCTATAATCAGTCGTTTATAGAGGGGCAGGCTTAACAAAGACACATCATAAAACCACCAATCATCACATTGAGATGGTTTCATCTCAGAAGAAATTCCATTCCATAACTCATTGTCTGATTGATTCTTCTTGAAACTACGTTTAGACATAGGCCTCTTGAATAAGCTTGGATCTGAACATGCCTTCATAGCCAAGGAATCAATGCATCTTGAAACTATATGAAGGTCTTCTGCAAAGGGTTGCACTTCCTCACATGTTTCAAGAGCTTTTATGGAATCTGGCCAATTGCTGAAAACCTCATTGAGAAAAGCCTCAGTCTGTGCAACAAGATTCCCTTCACCATAGTTTTCAGTCATTTGGAGGTACTCAGCTGCACATCTGAGACTGACTACATTCAATGATGTGATATCTATTTTTACACCATAGCAAAACCTGGTTATATTCTCAAATGTTATGGCTCCACCAGGAACATCATGAAGTTGCAAAACACAACTTGATCCATCCTCATTTGAGGACTCCGCAATGAGTTTCTTCAGTAGGCCACTTCTAGAAAGCAATGGAAACTGCATCAAAATCACAAAGGTAGAAACAAACTGAGGACCAACATAAAAAAAAAGAGGCAAATACATATATGGGAAGAAAATGAAACAAAATGCATGTATTATGCTGAATCAAAACAGTCACCTTGTGTAGGAGAAAAGAGATTTCGCCAACTTCAATGGTAACATCACTTGGAAGTCCTGTTGTGCAAACCCTGAATGTAAAACAAGATTAGGACCAATAATCCAAAAATCAGGGGCATTTGCAAATAAAATGTATTAAAGGTTACATTTTTTATGTGGGAACATAAACAAATAAAGAATAAGAAAAAGGGTATGAGGACCCATTAGAAAATTGATCTAGAGACAGATGAATGATCACCACGTTTGGCCTTCTCGACGAAAAGGTTCAGACTTTGATCCCAACTTCATGAATGTCATGATATATATTTAATTGATATAGGATATTGCTGTTTGAAGATTCATAGATTGAGACATGGGAAACAAAAGGTGGAGGAGGGTGAAGAGGAAAAGGAAGAGAAAGAAAAAAAGAATAGTGATGATGCTCCACACACACAAGAAGCGAGTAGTAACTGAAGGAGCGACGAAAACGGTTAACGTAGCTATCTCCAAATTCCGCTTATGTTGTGTTTCTCTCTCTCTCTATCTATCTTTCATCCGATAATTAGTTAGCAATAGCATGCATAATAATAATAATATATCTTATTTGAATGAAATTTTACATGCAAGACATTCTTCACAAATTCTCATATACTATCAACTCAAATCAACAAGATGATAACTTTTCTACCGGTTTGAGGTACTTTTTTTTATTTTATTTATCTTATCTAATTATATATATATATATATATA